CACTTCTAAACACAAATTGTCCTTGATACAGATCTCTTTTCATCTAATTATTAACATCCGCCAAAACGTGGAGCGCTACATCTCATCGTAACCTAAAACTTTATATTTATGAAAATTCTCTTAATCGGAGAGTTTAATTAATTAAATATTTTAATGACAAAACGTCCTATTTCTGGGAATTTTCGTAGATACAAATTTTGTAGGTTATAATAAGTTTTAAGCGGATGTAATTTATTTGATTAAAACTGGTCTGTGCCACAGACTAAAATATTCGGTAAATTAAAAAAAAAATGAAATATTCTTTCTTAAACAAATATATTTAACCAATTAAGTACTCAAACTTTTAATGTATTAAAATATAATTATGTATTTATAGAGATAAGGTGAGGTGTAGAAATCTGATATTGACATGTTTTCATCTATATTTTGATAGAATCTAATCCCGTGTTTCAATATTATATTAGGCAAAATCGAAATAGAAATTCCTGATATTTATCTGTATAATATTACATTCCTCGTTGGGGTGGATAGTTCTCACAAGTAACAAAGTAGTAACCTAAAAAATATCGATATTAATACACACTTATATATATATATATATATATATATATATATATATATATATATATATATATATATATATATATATATATATATATATATATATATATATATATATATAAAATTTATATTTTAAATCTATGTAAATATTGAGGATAAAAAATATAACAAAACCATAGTTTAATAATTTATTATTTTATATATTAATTTATTCAAGGGAAAAATTTATTTATATTTGAAATGCTTCTCTTCCATGGTAATTCTTTATTTTTATTTTTTCAGTCTAACGTTTCAAGTTACTCGGACATCATCAAAGATAATTGAATCTATTAAACACAACAAAAGAAAATTTTATATATGTTTTCAAGGCTATATTTATTTAAATGCACTCTAATATATAACATTTTAAATTAACTGATAGTTTATATCTCATTGTTATCAGCTGTCGCATTGTTAACATGCATTATGAGAAAATGAGATGGATGAAATATCAACTTTCAGGTAAATTAAAATGTTATATAACAGAGTGCATTTAAATAAATATAGTCTTGATAAAATTTTTGAAATCATTGTTGATAATTGTTATGTTGTCTCTAACAGATTAAATTGTCTTTGATGACGGGTGAGTAATCCGAGACGTTAGACAGAATGAATAAAAATAAGGATTAGCAATAGAATAGAAGAATTTCAATTATAAATACCTGTATAATTTATTTAAATTTTACCAAAAAAAAATATTACTATAATCTAGAAAAAAAAAGTGGAGTCATTCATAAAAAAACAGATAAAACAATAAAATCCGAATTCAATTAATTATTAGTAGAATTTATCGAACATATTAACATTTTAATTATAAACCAAAGGGGCAAAGATATTATTCATATTTGTAAGAATAAAATTATACTGTTAAAAACCAATTGTTTAAAAATATCATTTAGATATTAGTTCGTGGTACAGACCCCTTTTTATCACATTATTAACAACCGCCTGAAACCTCGTAAGTAGCTTCTTCATCTGATCGTGACCTACAAATATTTTATTTACGAAAATTCTCGGAATTGGGGCGTTTCCAATCTGGAGATCGGGAAACTTTTTCTATTTAATTAGGTACTAAAACCTCACGAAAACCCATTTGCTTTCTCCTTGAATCGCAAGATAATATGATCACAAAGTCGAAAACTAAGATGGCCTACAAAAATATTGGTCCGTTGGGTCTATATAACCTATTTATGTTTTTCGGGGTGAAGTTCACGCCAAACGGACCAACATTTTTGTATACTTCCTTAATATTCGACTTTGAGATCATATTATCTTACGATTCAAGCGGAAACTAGGTGGATGTTCAGGAGTTTTTAGAACCTAATTAAATAGACAAAGTTTGTCCATCAACAAATTGAAGACGCCCCAATTCTGAGATTTACGTAAATAAAATATTTCTTGAATACGATGAGATGAAAGTATTTATAAAGTTTCAGATTTCATATTAGACAAAAAGGGTCTGTACCACGGACTGTCTGCTTCCAAGTGAGACTACATTCCTTAAATTTGTTTGTTTGTTTATTTAATATATTTTTTTAACGGTCAAATTTAAATGTCTATTTTGCAATATATCTATATTGAAACTATCGGACAACATTTTCGATACTACATTCCATTTTATGACTCTGTCATTTCTTACCAAATACTAATAAAACATTTAAAGGTTGTAGCTTCACAAATTGTTTTTATTTATTTTTTATTGGTGAGTTAAGTTTAGGTATTGCTATAACCTACTGGTAGTCGACCGATTTTGGGTTTTTTTTTTTTTTTTTTTTTTTTTTTTTTGTCTAGGCTCAGTTTTATTTGGCATGTCGCCAATGAGGACGATTTAAATGAAAAAACTTTTTTCATTAACATGACAATCCATACTATCTCTAGTTTGTTCGTAATACTTATATAATATTAGTGAACATTAGCTTAATATGCATTTCACTTTATATGTTTTACTTTGCTATTAATATTGAGTTGTTTTTTTTAATTTATAATAAACAAAAATTGATACAACAACAAATATATTAATTGAAATCCCTTTCAAACTCTCAGCTTCCTCTAAAAGCCAGAGGTTTTTTTTTTAATGAATGTTTTTATTACTTGTCACAGAAAAAAGAACTTACTTAGTATATTTCATTAGTTTTCAAACTATGGTAAGGTAAATTACTATGGCTTTATTTTACCATTAATATGTACGCGTAGTGCGATACTATTATAGTTACCCAAGACGATTTGCCTATTGACTAATGCAAGGAGTTTGATACTTTAAATAATAGGGTTTATAAAAAAAATCACCACTTTTCAACCAAATATTTGTATTGTTATTTTTTTTATATAAAATACAATTAATGCTCAAAGTATAGTCCATTTTTATCTACCGTCATTAGCCATCTGCTCGATCTCACGCTGATACCATTCTTTGGAATGGTTGTCAAAAAACTCTTAGACCGCAATTTCAACTTCCACAAAATTATCGATTTTTTTCCTTGAAGAAAATGAGCCATGGATCTAAATAAGTAATAATCCGTTGGTGCGAGGACTGGACTATATGGTGGATGATCAGTTCAAACCAAATCAAATGTAACCTTTTCTATTTCAAAGGGTTACATTTGATTTGGAAAGGTTTACATTTGAAATCACAAAAGTTACATTTGAAACGTAAAAGATTACAATTTACTTGGAAATGCTATACTCGTATAATAGCACGGGTTTTGGATATCTATTTTTTTTATTTATACACAGTAACGTAATACATTGATGATAAAGCACCTCAATCTACAGTATTGCTTAGTGTAATAAAAAAAGTAATTTTATATAATTTGATCATATCGACGGAATGAGACAGTTAGTGATGACAGAAAAGACTAAATTGGACATTCGGCTTCCCCGAACAATCTTCTCTCTCTCTCTGTTTTTCAATAAATTTTTATAAATTTCTAACCTCTTAACCGATTGCTGAGGAATAAGTTCATAAGGAAGGACCAGTCTATTGCTCTTTTTTCACTTTCCCCATTGAGAGTAAATAGCGACTAACAATATCTTTTGACACAGCACACTCCCTGACATGTTCGCGAGTACTTGTAGACGGATTTGACTCAACAGCTTCCTCCAGAATCTCATCAATATCCATTCATTAATGGTCGCACAAAGCCCTTTTTCCTTTCCAACTTCGTATCTCCACTGCTAATTTTTTCAAACCAACGCCGCGCAGTTTGCTTGTCATGGAGACCTTCCCCTCCATATTTAATGTTCATTCATATCACATATAGTTGAAATTGGAGTTAGTCATTCTGTCAACTGAAAGGCTCATGTATCTATATCTATACATGGTTTGGTTGTTACGGTCTTTAATTTAAAAAATCGTTTCCGCAACAAACTTGCCGGATGCTCAGTGGATACGGCAGGGTTTGCAAAAAAAAAATAATCAAGAGTCAATAAAATATTAATAACTGTCCAACGAGCGCCATGCTATTTAATTGGTTGAATCTGTAAAATAGCGAAAACCATAAAAATAAAAAAAGAAATTTAATTTTTAAAAAAAGAAATGGACGCGGAGTGAGCTACGAACTCGGAACCGATGGGTTTAAAAACATATGTTAATTAACCTCATAACCTATCGAACCTTCTTACTTGGTTAATAATGACTTTCGCTAATCCCTCGAATAGGGTTTTACAATTCCTTATTAAACATAAAAAAAAACAATATAATATATACATAAAACGTGAAAACAAACTGAAGAAAAAGAAGAAAATAAAACTGGCTATTATAAATACTAATGATGAATTAACTTTAATTATCTAAGAAAAGAATATAAAATTATTATAGAACTAAACATTAACCTACAACTATACAAACGTTTGAAAAAAAAATAGATAGGAAAAAAAACTTATATGTACATATTTATAAAATATCAATGGTTGAACTCTGTCCAATTTTCACATTGAGTTATCTGAGGAAGCGGGAACTTATTCGAGCTAGCGTCGTCAGGGTCTCCCCAGTTTATCTCCTCAAGCTGTGAAAATTTCATTCACCAACTTTGAAAATCAAGCGGCACTCGTCGCTGATAATCACAGGTTCGTGGATAGGAAAAAAAAATCCGGCATAGACCGTAAAACTAAAGTATTTCACACACACAAATCCTTAGCGTACCTCAACACTCACGAGGTTCCGCCATCTCTCTAAACTTTCTTTTGTTTTCCCTAAGACATATTATAAACGAATATCTATTATTAAAACTTATACTAAATACTTAATTAACTAATTCTTAATTTTATATTAAACCCTCTTCGAGTTAATAAAAAAAATCTAACAATTATTTAACTAACTAATTTTTTTTTTTTGTATTTTATTTTTCGTCGCATGGTCTCATCTGAAAGTTGTTAATATCTTGATGGTTGTTATGTTCCAGGTACAGATAGATGAATTGGAACAGGAAGTGATAGATTGGGTCGAGAACAGTCTGATTGAGGCCGAGAGACGGAAGTGCGTTCGCAAGGTTCACGAAGTACAGAAGTTGACTGCAGTATCTAAAGGAGACAACTACACAAGCGACCTCTCCAGGCTCCGTATCAAAGTGCAACAATTTGACGGACGTGTGGAAGACCGCTGGGTCATCTACAAAACCTTGCCTAATACTAAACTCCGCCAAAAGTACATGAAGCAGTCTGGCCTCTTCCGTACTGAGTTCAGGGTAAGTAGTAAAAACATTTTTTTTTTTTAACCTAATAATAATTAATAAATCGGAACTTTTTGAGTGTAAGTTTAAAATATTAATTCAATAAGACTCCTTCCAATTTAAAATGTATTTTATAAAGCAAAAAATTTAAGGAATTATTTATCATAAAACAAATTGTCTAAAATAAATAGTTTTTCTTAAAATGATCATAGACTATTGCATGAAACTTCACGGACGAAGTGATAAGTTATAAAAGATGAATAAAACATGTCCTTGAAAAGGGCAAGTGAGAAATGAAACTTAAGGCATTCTACACGGTTAAGTTTCTAGATAGAAACAACCGTGTAATAAGGGCTTTAAGCCGTAGAAAATTAAAGTATAGGAAGACGAAAAACTTATCATTATCACAAATATAAATAAAGCACATGAAGAGGATACATATAAAGAACTGAAAAACATGTAGGGAAAAAATCACCAGTAGTAGACACTATTGTGAGTCTCTTATAATAATTTTAAATTTAACGCGTTAGATTCTTTTCAAGCTTCTTTTTTTTGCTATATTTGTCCAACAACACTCTTACGGGAAATAAATTCCTTCTAAGATAACTTAAACATTGATATTTAGGTCATTTCTTAGATAATTTTCGAGAACATGTTTTTCCATCAATAGTATACATCAGTGTACCAGTAATAGACAAGAAAACACAACAGTAGTTGACACCACTTAATTAATAAATTTAATTTATTTCTAATCAAATATGCAACTTTATTGACCTTTTTAACCACGGAACTATGATGTTAAAAAAAAATTCAAATTTTATTTTTTTAAAAAAGTATAATTTTTTTTTTAATTAAATTACATTTGTAGTGCTATGTATTGAACATAGCAAATAAGTTTTTAAAAATTATTATTAGGTGTTTATAACAAAGTTGAATGAAACCGAATTCTGACATAAAAAACAGCGTCAATGAGGAGAGCAGGTAGATAAGGACCGACCTTTACCTGGACCCTGAGGAAGGCTCAGATTACTTGTAACTAGTAACGAGTTAAGTAAATGGTTCCTTTCAGGGTGTTACCAGTTATTGTAAAGTAATAGGGTGAAGTTAAGAACCAATGAAAACCATCCTTGCCCTATGCTAAATATTTCTATAAAATCTCCGGAGAAGTAGGAAAAGAGGTCTTGTGTTGATTTTCGGCCTTGAGGATAGGTCTCATGTTTTCTTCCAGCTTGGAGACTGAAGCCTTGGCCCTACCTAAACCATGAAGATGAGCCTCCTGACAGAGTTTTGACCTGGGCTTGACGAGATGACCTCGGATCAGCAGATAGATGGAGGGATGAAATCTACTAACTACACCACTTCACATATCATGATAGCTACGTAGTAATTCCCAATCCTAATGTTATAATATTCCATAGCGATAATTCTCAAAACAGTCCATCTGAAATCATCCCTTCACAGTTAATTATTAAATTCATTGAATCGCGTATTTAGTTTCTCGTAAATATAATTGGTATATATTCTTTATCAAACATAGAAATAAATTAATTTTTTTAGTAAAAGTTATTTTAATTCTGCATCCTATTTGTATAATGATGATCACAGGTAATGTTGGTAATTAGAAAGCATGATAAACACAAACCAGCCTTTGAGAAAAGAAATCAAATTAATTAATTCTGGACCAATCAATATATTATAGATCCAAATTTATTTTACAATTTATTTATTATTAATCTTTATTAAATAATTCTGGATAATTATCGTCTATGATTTTCCAGTGGCATCCAGATAAATTTCACAAACCCCCAAAACATAGTAGTAGGTAAGCTAGAGTAGGTAAAAAGTAATAAGACATTTCCTGGGAAAAAATCGGTAACAGCAGAACCTGGGATGACAAAGACATCATGCTGCTCTAACCTTTCCACTGCTCACTTGCTACACAGTATAATAATAATAATATTATAATATAATATTATAATATAATATTATAATATAATATTATAATAATATAATGTTTCTAAAGTTTAAAATTACACCAAATTCAAATCATTCTGATGGTTCCAAATCTTATTTTTTTTAAGTTAATGTTTTATGTGTCTACTACTGGCTTGATGTCTACTACTGGTGCCTTTGCCCTACGCGGGCATATATACATGGAAGAATTACTACTGCTACTAATGATAATATATTGCTTAGAAAGTTAAAATCTCAATGCCGGTAATACCAATCTCTGTATACCTAAATCTGATTCTGAACCCAAATATTGTGTCGTAAACTTACTCCAATAATATATAGGTATGGTCAATTGTTATGTATCTTTCAGCATCTATACTAGGTAACAATGAATAATATTTCTAACTACCGATGATTTTTTGAATTTTCATTTATTTATTTGAAGACGAAGTGATAATCATGTCCGTTGAGTCTGAGACATAATTTCTTATCAGAAAATGAGGACTGGTAAGAACTGACAATTTTAAGTGGAATATGATCCATAAGGCATTACAGTACAAGAAAGAAGACATTGATATACCGACACGTGTTACACAAGACATAATTGGAGAGACGATTGGATCTAAAGTAACTGGACGATACTGGAGGATACTCACCCTTCACCAGATTCCGTGAGGTCAAGTTTTAGAAGCTGGAAAATTCTTTCTTTTTCTTTTTTTTATAAATTACTATAAATGATAAATAGATTTAAATGGATCATCCATAAAGACCTTAATGTTCCATATGTTTCCGATCTGGCCCAAAACCAGATACCTTTTCTTCCATAACAAACTGCAGAACCATCCGAATCCTCTCGTTTCAATCCTTGCTTCCTCCTCGATCCCTGATAACCCTCCGAGGCGTCTGAAAAGAAGATGGCCTCGGGATCTTCTAATATAGAACTTTAATTTGAGTTCTACCAATGGGTAGTTTCTCTTCATGTTGTACATGCCATGTTACCAATTTCTCATTTACTTCATTAAGTATTCTCTATGTAATACAGTTGTAAATTCCATTAAAATAATAATAAAAAAAAAAGATTTAAATGGACTTATTACCTCCATTAGATAATGAATGATTTTTTAAATAACAATTAGAATAAACCTCATCATATCCCGTACTTGCCACATCATAGCGATTTTTAATAGGATTGAAGGCAACGAAACAGTATGAATTTGGAATCGTTGGATATGCTTGACATAAAACACTAATGATGGTACAGTCAGTAGATTTTTATGATTATTCTTTTAACGATTTCAACATTATGCATGTAATAAAAGGAATAGAAAGAAACACTTGATCTAGAATCTCAAGCCATATTATATAATTTTAACTAATCAATAAATTATAACATTAAAAAAATCAACTGTCTGGGAACTCCTTCTATATTGTTTAGTTTAAATAAAAATTAAGACGAATAATTTAAAAAAAAAATAAGAAATTTTTTTTGCAATTAATGCTAGCTCATCATTGATTTAAAAATGTATGTATTAATAGTTGATTATCAATATTTTATTTTATCAATATATTTTCTGATTATTATTTATATACATTTTACCTTTCTAGAATCAAATAATAATGAATGAATTGCAGGAATCTTTTTAAGTATTAATTTTTGACGAGTTCTGTTTGCGTTGAAAAATACATTGAATTCTTTCAATAACGATATCGTTTTTATTTATCCTAAGCGAGATAAAGATAATACAGGAAACGTAGCAAATCGATAACTCTCAAGATAATATTCATACCCACTCTCTTTTTGAGATTGGATAATCTTGTTGGCCTTCGTATTAATGATCTCATCAAGAATAACAGTCACGGGATAAGAATTCCTCGTGTTGCGTTATTTATCAACTTGCGATGATTCGATCATTAAACATACATTTATATTTTTTTATTTTTTATTTTATTGTTAATTTAATAGTATACACCTTAAAATTGTCGTATATGAATATTATGTTAAATTTAAAATATAAAGTCTATGTTATAAACAGTCTATACTAAATGATAGGTAATTACATAAAAAATTATGATAGGTAATTACATAAAAAATTTCATATTAAAAATTGTTTCCTTTTTAATATTTGATACTTGATGAAAATATACATTGATTTTATTCTACTAAGGATAGCCTGGAATAAAGGAACACTTAAATTTTAATTAAAATTTTCATTCATACACTTACTCACTGTTGATAGTTTTGATATTAACTTACTAAAAACAAAACAAAATAAGTACAAATTTTTTAAATAATAACGGACCCGAATTCCAACACAACTACAGTTATCTTAATCCTTAATGGTGTTTTATACGATAAGGAAGAAAACAAGAGCACTTAATATTAAAATACCTAATATTAATAAATAACGGTAATATTTTACTATAAAAACTACTTCAATTCCCCAAAATATCACATCCCTATGAGGAACGCCATTAAATTCTTTATATTATATCTTCTTAAATTCTTTAATAAATAGAGATATTCATTTAATTAGTCAAGAGGAGAAACCCGGCATTACAATGGCATCCCATCCATAGCTCATATTTTTCAGCATTGTCCGTTTTATAGCCGCAAACTAAAAATATGGGAATTTTTATTTATTTTTTCTTTTGTATATACTTTAATTATTTAATTTCATTTTTTTTAATGCATCTATTATTTTATTTTATTTTTTAAACCTACTAACTAAATATTTTAATCATAATATCATTTTATGGAGTGTTGATAACATCAAAACAACCAACCTATCAACCTGGCGGTTGAGTGTGATATTGGCCCGATCATCACCCTACACAAACGTTGGCCTTGAAACAGAAAAAAATATTTTATGGGTTGTAGTGGTGCAGTTTTTTTTTTTTTTTTTTTTTTATTATTGTTATTTTAATCTTATTTGTGAATTTTATACTCATGAAAAAGTACCACCACGTAACCAAAACAGAAGATTATTATAAATAAACTAAAAATTAAAGACATAATAATGCTAAAAATTAGTGTAACGATTAAAAAAATATTGACAATTCTC